ATCTCCTCCGCCCCACCCCTTGCCCCGCCCCCCTCCTACCTCCGGCCCGGAAGTACTGGTGTGTGAAGGGCGTGGTCTCCCCCGGTAACTACGAGTGGCGGGCGGTTCCCGATTACTGCAAACTAGGAATCGTAGGGGAATCGAGTCCGAACCCAATTTCCTTTCACTGTTGTGTTTTCTTCCGGGTGTCCATGATTTCTTCCTGTGGTTCCAGCCCCTAGACAATTACATGATTACTTCTGGCAAAGTAGTTAATTACTTCCGATGAATCCAACACCTCGCCAGTTCCGGTTACCTGGTCGGCCTCAAGCAGCTTCAGGATCCAGGATATCCTCGATTTCGAAACATGGCGGGGCACCAACATTTTTCTTTTCAAAACTAAGTTTTTAAAAAAAGGGAAAAAAAAGAAGAAAATGTTAATAAACAAATTGAGAGTAATTGGCAACAGTTGGTTTACGTAAAAAAATGTGGGTGGTAGGCGGGTGCTCTGGTGTGGTTTGCTTCTTCTTTCCTATCAAACATCTAATGTCCTTATCTCCACTCCTTCTTTTTTATTTTTTTTTAACTCTCTTGTAAAGACCTCTACTAAAACAAACAAAACAAACAAGTAAACAAGAATCGGAACTTTTCTTCCTGTAGCACTAACCGAAGGAATCGGTTCTAGAATCGATTTTTGGCCCAGCTCTAATAACTACATAATGCATGCCTCCGGGATGGGGGACCCGCACAGCTAAATATAGACTACCTTAGGAATAATGCAGACAGTTTCTATAGCGCCCTTTCCTGTATACAATACAACGCTAGGCGCTCTACAATGCCTACCTAGCCTCTATACTTTATACACAAAACACACGGGTGAATGGACGTGCAAATATATACACTCTTTAGTTTAACGGTAACACAACGCATAAGTCAAAGAAAATACATACATGCGATATTTGGATTAACGTGAACAGATAATTCAGTGAACATACATTCGTACATACACTCTTTAGATTAACGTTAACGCATAAGTCAATGAACATACACAATATATATTTATACTCTTTGGATTAAGGCGAACACATAATTAAATGAACATACATACATACACTCTTTAGATTAACGCTAACGCCTAAGGCATATTATATGTACATTCACACACTGGGGTTGG